GCGGAGCTTATGCCGCCACCACAGCGACATCGGGTGCGAAAGGAGCGACGGGGGGAGCGCGGCAGGTAACGGTCGGGGACTCAGCTGCCGGTCCCCTGTGGAGCCAAGGGTGGTGGTCCTGTGGCAGTGTCACCTCAGCTGCCGGTCCCCTGTGGAGCCAGTGCCCTTGTGACAGTGTCACCTCAGGTGCGTGGTCCCTGTGGAGCCACGGCTGCAGTGCCATGTAGCAGTGTCCGCACATCTGTATGTACTGGTACCCATGCCCTGGAGAGACCCACTGCTCACCCCCATGAGGAATTAGGGCTGTTTCATGCCACCCTGTCACCCTTAATGTGGCTGGTTCCTGTTGTTGCGCGCAGCCAGGCTTGCCCCACGTCCTGTGTCCTGCTGGACCCACAGAACCAGACTGGTCCCAAGAACAGTCTTGTTCTGATCTTTCTGCCGAGGTACTTGATGGCTCTGTGTCTCAGCACCACATCTGCTAAGCAAGGGAGCCAATAGTCAATGGGAGTCCAAAATTGTGTTTGAGAGCAATTATAGCCTGGGTATAGGTTAATTAGGGTGTGTGAAGGTATGAGAAATGATTGATGAATGCAGCCATGGATCTATGACAAATTTAGGTTTATGTGTCTTAGAGTGTCTTGGCAAATCATTGGCATCACACAACAGGGAATGACCCAAAACAAACTGTTCCTCATGGAAATCCAGGGCTATCCTCAAGCTAGCACCACCTCTAGTAACCTCAGTGCTACACCAAGCGCAAGAGCTGCTGAGCTTACTCCAGAAGATTTTGTCTTGCTCATTCCAGCCTGTAATTAGAGCTACATTCCCCTGCCCGTGTTGTTTGCGATGGAAGAATTACAGAAGTTGAAAGGAAAGCATAGAACTATCCAGTATGCACTACTTGGCTGTGTAAATGCATGCATTTAAGAATATGAATTATTGAAATTTTGTTGTTTCAGCAGGTTAAAACGACAATCAGTAATATGGAGCAGGACTTAGAAGTGTTTCAGGAGCAAGCTGTCACTAAGTAAGTAATGACTTACTGTCTGAGAGTTGAATATATAATGGAATTAAACTACGTGGGTTTATTAAAAATGTGAAACAAAATATTAATGATTTTAGAAGCAAACGTGATTCTTTCTCAATTTCTTCTGCTGCCCTCTGTGCAGACTGGAGAGGTTACTGATAATTAAGACAACACATCTTATTGCTTTAGCTAATAATCTACTGACTGTTTCTGTTAGTTATTTAAATTTTTAAAATCTTCATACCTGAACAAAAGGGGAAAAAATGAAAGCTATGTGGGATTTTATTAAAATGTTAAGAGATGTTCATTTAAACTGTTTTAAAAAATAGTTGAAGTTGCTAGGCTACAGCAGTATAAACTTACATATCACAGCTCTTAAAACATTCAAGACTCTTAAAAACAAGGCTATTAATTGCTAAAGCCTTAGTCTTATTTTGCACTGGTAATAACCACAATTGGTCTTACCAAGTATTAAGTGCACTTTTCATCACAACACAATCATCTTTTTCTGACATAATCCAAGCTTAGTTCTTTTAGTGTTAATCTAAAAATATTAGTACAGCACAAAATCTTTCTAAAGAAGTGTAAACAATGGTGAGATTTGATGTAGGACCTCATCCCATCCAGCCTGTTCAAGGAACACAGCAATATAAAGTACTTCCCCATATAATGAGCTAAATAGAATATTTACCTATCATAATTTGTAAATAAACTTATTACCTATTTTTCATATAAAACAGCTTCTTTTATCATTATTACCAAGAAGCAGTTCAAGGTAATATGATGCATATTAAGTGTAAAAGTATTTCTTAAAATAACAGAAACACACATATGCTAGCCCAGTAAATTTTTAATAGGATCTGGAAGCGTGCTCTGTTGTACTGAAGAATAATGTGTGCACTTTTCATGATAGAAAAAAAATTGCTGCATTAAAGTATTATATATTATATATAAAGAAAGCTTTAAAATTGGGGAAGACAGCTGAATAATGGTGGTAGAAATCATGACTATTACATCCCAGCTGCAAGAACTCATAAATCACAAATTATCCATCCACAGATGTGTATGATTCTGTATGGCTGAAAATTGTTAAATAAAGTAGTTGTAGTTCATATAATGGAACTTTGGGGTAGAAGATTCTAATGGACTATTGTATCACAACTGGTTTATATATTTCCTATTTTTAAAGCAAGTTTTAAGAAGAGAAAAGGAATTAATATTGACTCTAGAAGCTGGCTTAAGGATCACAAACTAATGAATGTACTATGTAAGATGGAAATCTTCGTTAACATTGTTCTGCATAGGTTTTGCTTGTGTTTGCATAAATACAGTCATTGCCTCGGTCTTCACCAGCAAGTGCTCAAGCCTCACCACCCAAGCCGCAGAAGGCAAAGGCAGGGACTGGGAGAATGAAGAGCCGCCCAGTGGGAGAACATCAGGATCGAGACCATCTAAGGCACCTGAAGGTGCACAAGTCCATGGGACCCGATGAGATCCATCCACGGGTCCTGAAGGAACTGGCGGATGAAGTTGCTAAGCCACTATCCATCGTATTTGAGAAGTCGTGGCAGT